TAGAATGATGTACAAATGAGCGTTCTTGCTCATTTTGCCTCCGAGACATGAGCAAAAACGGGACGGAAAACATGAAATTTTGGCATAATCTTGCACATAAGTGTCTGATATTCAAATTTCGCTTTCTGTGTCAAAACTACTCGAATTTTCTCACTCATGTTGTTACGACTGAATCGACTTTTCAATTCTCTATCCAACGATGCAAAAACGAATTCTGTGGCTCGAATGGTTCTTGAGAAACTTCGAAAAAAGCAGCTTCATGTTCAAGTGGATTTTGCAACTCAAAAAAAAAAACACGCAAATCTAAAACTTCTTGAATTCAAGCATTTTTTGAGAAAACTGCAACATTTCCTTATCGATGGTTCACTTTCTAAAAAGACCATTTAGTTCTCTTTGGAATGATGTAAAAACGAGCGGTCTTGCTCATTTTGTTTCCGAGAAACATGCAAAACGGGACGAAAAACAGGAAATTTTGCAATAATCTTATGCCACTTTTGCACAAAACGACGATAATTTTTCTAATTTCATAGGCAACAGCCTGTATTCTTTCTACATAACCCGTGTGCGTGAGTTAAAAATAAATTCTGCCCATTTCCCCAATTCTTGACTACCTATGGATCTCGAAACTGAAATCGCAGTTTCTGCTATGTAAAATTGCATCTAATGCATTGGGATTTATTCATGAAACCCCTGAGTCAGTTTTCTTGCTTAACATGCACATTTTCTCGGTAATATCAAGTCTCAATTATCTAACGGGTAATGATCAGCTCCCTTCACTCATTAATATTGCTTGGTCATTCAAACAATATATTTTTCCTTCAGTTGGGTAATTATGCAGATTTCAATGTCCATGCAAGTAAAAGTTTAGTCTGCTTAGTACAGCGGTCAGTTAGTTTTCTTATTAGGGCAGCGATTAGCTGGGTGAAAATGCTACGTTGTGCTGTGCTGTTTTTGAGTGTTGTCGAAGTTTTAAATTACCAATTGGTGAGTTTCTATGGTTGCTGCATTCGGGCTCAATTTCGTATGAATTTTCCGTGTTCACTCAACTACTTTGGTAGCATTACAGCTTTGTATTAAAAAAAAAAGTAACTTTTCAGAGCCCTATCGTGACCATTAGCGATGGAAGAGTTCAAGGAATCGTGAACAGTTCAGTTGGAAGCAATAGAGAATACTACGCATTCAGAGGAATTCCTTTTGCCAAGGCTCCAATTGGGAACTTACGCTTCAAAGTCAGTTTACTTAACACTAAAACTTATATTTAACAATTCTTTCCACCCCCGTTAGGCCCCAATACCAAACGATCCGTGGAGCGGAATACTGAATGCAACTGAAACTAAGGAACAATGCGTGCAAATTTCTGGCATTCTTGGACTTTCCATTACCGGCTCGGAAGACTGTCTTTACTTGAACGTGTACACAACAAAAGTAACTTTGGCATAACTGCGGAGAGTCTGAATAACTTTTGATGGCATGGTTTTAAGATATCGGGCAATTTACCGGTAATGGTATGGATCTTTGGAGGCGGATTTACCATTGGAGGAGCCGAATACAGTTCGTACGCCCCCGATTTCATTTTGGACAGGGATATTGTCTTCGTTTCACTAAATTATCGACTAGGGGCGTTTGGATTTCTCAGCACTGGCGACTTGAGTAGCCCAGGCAATTGGGGCATTAAAGACCAAATTTTGGCATTGAAATGGGTGAAGAAGAACATTAAAAGTTTTGGGGGAAACCCCAACAGAATTACCATCGTGGGTCAAAGTGCTGGCTCAGCGTCCATTTCGTATATTTTACAGGCCAGAAAAACTAAGGGTACATAAGTGAACCAACTCTAAAGGAAATCAGTTGATTTTGGTCATTTAGGTTTGTATCATGCGGCGATAATGCAAAGTGGAACAAGTCTTTGCTTGTGGTCGTTAACGCGCACTGCACGAGAAATCGCCTTTGCTTTGGGGGCTAGATTGGGCATTTTTACTGCAGATACTCGGGAGCTGGTTGAGGAATTGAGGAAAGTTGATTATCAACGACTGAAGCGAGCAGAAAATGATGTTTTCTATGTGGTGAGTCGTAATTTGAAACAGAATGAGAGTTTGTTGAACGCGATGTTCAGTTAGAACCCGATGAAACAAGTTGGAATTTCAAATGGGTGAAAGTTCAGAAATTCGCACTTACCGTATTCAAATTGTGGAAAATCCTGAAGAAAAACTCAAAGGTTTTTCACTGTAAAGTCACCAATATTCAGCGGTTAATGTCAATCGCTGCATGTCAAAATTCCCAGTTTTGACACCGAACGTCAGGCAGCTTGGAAAAATCGCATTTTTTCACCAAAGACCGCACTTACGCAGAAAAAAACACCACAAATCGGTGAAAGACAACAGTGCTTTTGAGGGAATCAACATTTTTTCACACAAAGTTTCAAAAATAGCAAAAATTTTCGAAATTCTGTCTGAGCCAAAGGTGAACATCCTGCCTAATCCGCGATAACCAGCAGACTAAATCGAGCAAATGTCATGCGAATTGACAGCTGAAGCAAAGCAAAACCGTTGCATTTTCAATTGATTTTATAAAAAAACTGCATTTTGGCAAATAAACTCAAAAGGGGTTTTTATTTCCCAACTGAATGTACCGAATGTCAAATATTGCGAAATTTTCCTAGGCAAAACAACGGTTTCAATTTTTTTAATCAGAAACTATGCATTTTAGCAAAAATACCAAAAAAGCCTTGTTGTTCTCAAGTGAATTTAAAAATCGAAAAATTATTGTTATTTGCCGAAAAGACTGATGGAGTCTGCTTTTTTCTGGAAAGAAGCGAATGCCAAAAATCGCGGCAATTTTTTCGGACTAAACAACGGTTTGTGCTTTTCTAATCGAAATCTGTTGATTTTGGCAGATAAACTTAGCAGAACTTTTTTCTTCCCAATTTTAAGCGCATAACTTAATTATCAAGTGTTTGAATGAATGACTAATAAATTAGAAAAAACATATAAAGCAAACCTATAGAAAATACAGTTTTAGGCTATAGCTGTCGATAATATTTTTAATGGTTTACCGATGGGCCCGGTAGTTGAGCCAGATCACGAAGAAGCTGTGATAACTGAAAAAAGCCATGAACTGTTACGAACTGGCCAATTCAATAAAGTGCCTGTAATAGTGGGCATCAATTCGAATGAGGCAAAATCCTTTCTAGGACTTTTCATCGGTAAAACTGATCAGCTACCAGCCTAGTTTCTTTCGGAACGTTTTTTGTACTTTCAGAAATCATTAAGCCACTTTTCACTCGATATGACTTGAATATTGCCATGTTGGCGCCGTATGATTTGAGCAGAAATTCCACCAAACGAACCCTGGCCGGTACTGAGGTTAAACAGCATTGGTTTGGAGAGGAACCCATTGTTACTTATCCTTCAATTAATATAATAAAAGTATGAGTATTATTTTTTAATTGGAAACACTGTTTGATTATTTGCACTTTTCAAGCTTCTCGTCTCAATGATCGATCTTTTTTACTATTTTCGACTGTTTTATTTTTCAATATGTTTTTAGTTTGTTAGCAACGAGCATTTTAACAGGCCAATTAGGGAAACAGTGAATCAGATGTCCAAATATACGGACGTGTTTTATTACGAATTTGGCTATAGAGGGTCTTTGGGGGAATTCGAAAATGATTTTGCTGGTAAGTGGTATTTGTGAGGTCCAAAAGAGACAAATTCCTCGATGGCACGATGAAACTTTCAGCATCGACAAAATTTTCTAATTTCCAAAGTTATCACCTATTAATTTTTTTTCTAGAAAATATAATCAAACAAGAATTATTTATTATTTACAGGTGTGGGGCATTACGAAGAAATATTTTATATATTCGCTAACAAGCCAAACGCCAATAATGACGATCAAATTGCCAGAAGACGTTTGCTGGAGCTTTGGAGCAATTTTATTAAATTCGGGTAAGCAAAGGTTCGGAATACTTTGTGAAAACTTCCATCCTTTCTGCAGCATCTGCTAGTGTTTACCGTTTTTTTTCGGCAAAACAGTTTTTTTACAAACTTCTTTTTGGGTATTTCGCCTCAAAAATGTTTGTCTTTAAAAAAGACAGAATTTTCTCACGTCTTTTATTACAGATTGATAA